TGCCTACTCTCAAGCCAGGTTTGACGCATCCATGTAAAGTGACATCAAAATAAAACATAGTACAGTAACAAAGTCAACAGCCTCCTTCACACATTTTTCTGTTTTTCTGAGGAAAAAAAAAAAAGTACCTTTTTTACTCTAGATCTTGTTAAGAGAAACCTCAGACATAACAGAACTCAGAGAGTTTAGTTTTTCTCCAGCTACAGCCCAATACATAAGAGTAACGTTGGTGTTCTCAAGGCTGGTTGTAAAACTGGAAGGGCTCTGTGCAAGGACTTGGCAAACCTGGAATTTTGTCTCCTCTGTTCTTATTACTTTAAGCCATGTGGGATCAATCAGCAAAAATACGAATGCTGTATTATTTTTTCTGAGAGGGAGATTTACTGAAATTCTACAGAAGTGCTCTGATCAAAACTTCATGTTACCAAAGCAACCTGATATAATGTTGCTAACGTCACATATGGTCACTATAGTGACTGTATAGTCACTAACGCTAGTCCTGCCTTGTGTGGGAAGTTGGACTGGATCATCTGCTGAGGCCCCTTCTAACCAAAAATACTTCTGTAATTCTGTAATTCCTTAAAACCTTTAAACCAGGTTCCCTCACGAGTGAAACATTCGAGCACTCCTCAATAAGTTATTGTTACTGCTGTTGAGTCTTTATAGGGAAAGCGATTTGAGATCATCTTTTAGAAAAAAAAAGTCTGTTTGCTATCAACTACACTGAAGATATAATTACACAAAATCCAACCCTTTAGTACTACATACATCTTTTACATAAAATACATTTAATCAGTTTGCTTAAAGTATGTGCTTCCCTGGCACTTGGGGCCAGTTGTTCTAGCCCAAGCCGGGCACAGGATTTCTAGAAAGATCCACCAGCTGAATTTACCTTTTTTATGTGTTAGAGAGGATCAAGAGAAGCGGCAGCTTTATCTGTAACAGCTGCAGTCTTTGCACAACAGAAACTAATGAAAATCAAGGTAAATGAAGGTGGTACAAGCACCTTATCCTAGAGAACCATATGTACACTGCTAGCTTTTACGGCCCAGTCTTGCAAACACCTACAAGAACACCTACACACAAGAAAACACCAAATACCTGAGCAGTTTGTTAACAAGAATTGCTACACAAGGGAATAAGAACTGCAGAGGTGCATGAAGTTAGCTGAGATATTTGCAGTGTCAGAGCAAACATCTCTGTTCCCCTTGAGTGTCAGACTGCATCTGCAGTTCTGTGTGCAGCTTGGGCCCCCGACACGAGTGACGTGGATAGACTCGAGCACGTTCAGTGCAAGCGGCCAAACTCGAGCCTCCGGGAGCCCTGAGCTGCCACCTGCAAGGAGGTTACAGAGCTGACAAGGCCAGGCCCTCTGGAGCACAGCAGACGCAGCCTGGAACCAGAGAGTTTCGAGGAAACGTGTAAGGCCAAACTTCCCCCGCTTGAGGCCGGCCAAGCACAGGCACCCGGCAGGCCTGGCTGACTCTGTCCTCAAGTGTTTTCCAGACCAGACTGCATGAAACCCTGAGCAACCTCCTCCATCCTCGCAGGCGGCCCTGCCTTGAGCAGAGCGCGGCCTGGCGCCCCGCGGAGCCCCTGCCTACCCCCCTTGGGAAGGCGCCCGTGGCACGCTGTAGTTTTGGCCTGGTCCTGTGCTGCGGTCATTGCATGAAAATAAGCAGGTCAGTCCGAGGGTGGGCTCCTCGTCACAGTGCTGCGGGCAATGTGCAGGCTCCAGCCCCCGCACCGGCCAGCCCGTGCGGTGGCGTTTTAGGTCAGAGATGACCTGCCATTCCAGAGAGGCTGCGCAGGGAGCATGATCCCTGTTTACTCAAGGCGTCGTAGCAAAGTCCAGGGAGCGACGCCAGCAGGAAACAGAAGCAAAGGCTGGGGCGCACCTCGGAGGCGCTTTGTTTTCCCTCGTGTGCCTTTGCTGGGCAAAGGGAGGGAGCATCTCTGCTGCGATACTAAGTTGAACCAAAGCTCAAAGCTGGAGCAGCTCTGGAAAAGAGACGTGCGAGCGCGCGGAGGCAGCGCCGCGGGAGGCGCCGGGCGGCCCCTCG